ATATATATTCAGGTTTTCTATAAAGCATCAGAGACTTTAAAATGAGAAAAGAACAAAAACAGAGGTATAAACATCCCTCGTGACACTTGCAGGGGTTACTGTCGTTCAGCACCGAGGTCTGGCTTCCTCCAGACTGAGCTTTGATGCACAGCTCCTGCGTGAGGCCATCAACACCTGGTGTTCAATCCCCGCACAGCTGGCCTCTGGCAAACTAGGTTAAATTCTTTTGCTTTATAAATGGGGAGTTAGCAGTTCAACTTTCAAAAAATGGGTAGAATAAAAAAGGCAGAAAATATCACAAGAGAAATGTTGTTAAGCCCAAGCCTTTCCTCTAAGTCAGAATGACACTTAAAATGTTGGGCCCCTTCAGGAAGAGGAATTGTGAAGAGCTTTACTCTCTCCAGGGGTACAAGAGCAGAGCCTGTGTTGAGCTCATGCACAGAGTACTGAGTGGACTCGAGTGGCAGTTTCCGATCTGCAACTTACGGTTCATGAGATTGCAGACGAGCTCGTGGAGCTCTTAGAGCTATGGTTCCATTACCCTTACAAATAAGATGGTTGGGCCAGACTGACTCTTAATTTCTTCCCAGTGTAGTTTTCTAGGATTTTTGTTTTTGGCTACAAAGCTACAGAATGAGTCAGTTACTTTATGTTGGATGAACAACTGATTCCCCACTTCCTCCCATGTCCTCACTGACTGTCAGCTCCATGCTCTTAGTTCAAGTAGATATGAAGCTTCAGTTTAAAGAAGGATGTAGTCTACCAGTTAGGGTAGTTACTTGCTATTAAGTAGGTTGTATGACTGTATATTTCTTAAACATTTAACTTCAGCATTGTGCATGTTATCTAAAATAATGGCCTCTGAGTATCTAAAGGTACATATTTCCAAAGATATAATTAGTTGAGATTCACTCCTAGAGGAAAATGAGTCCTTTTAAATACATGAATTTTAAAATACAGCATACTGGAATAGAATTTTGGACAGTAATATGACTTTAGAGAATGCAGAAATTTTTTATCCCAATACAGAAAATATTACACTTCGAATGTACTTGGCGGCTGCCACTTCCAGTGTTGTCAACAGGAAACATGAAATCACTTCATGGTCACCTGAAGACGTGGGCAATTCTTAAGTGGTGCACAGTCAACTAGAACTGAGACAGATGAGGGAGGTCCGTATGGCTCAGCATTTTCTTACTGGGCAAAGTTTCACCAGAGTTTGGGGCTATGTTTCCATGGCTAGGCTGCAGCAGCTATACCAGTAATGGCAAATCCATGATGGTAGCTCAGGGCAGACCTTAGCAGGTTACTTCCTCTAGGACAAAACTTAACATTTGAGGAGACACATGACTGGAGGGTAACTAGCATTTCTTAGATGTACTTAAGTTAGTCCATTTTAGGGCACATTTTATAGCTGTTATTGGAGCCTGTGGCATCCTCCCTGCAGGCCTGGGATCATGGTGCAGCACAAATATCCACGTGGGGTGTCCTGGTCTCTATGAAGGGGAAGCTGCCTTCATCCCCCTTGGAAGTCATTCTGGGAGCTGTGAAAGAGGAACTATTCAGATTTTTTCTTCTTTTTTATTATAGGCCAAGAGCAGTGATCTCACTTGCATGCATCGTAGTGGGACTGAATAGTCAATGCTTAGCAATGTAGCACACCTATTAGATTGAAGAGGCCCCTGGAAAGAAAGCATTGTAGTGTAGCTCTCCTCCCACATTCTTCTGAGAGGTTCTCTGCATTTACCATATCTAAATACCAGGGTGGCATTGCTTTCCATGTGCTTGTCCATGTCTGTTTCTCTTCACAGCATTTGTCACCACCTGATACTTGAAGGGTAGTTTATTTGTCTGTAGCCTAATAGACCATATGCGTGATAGACTAAAGCTCCCTCAGGGCAGGGAATTTTCCATCTTATTCATTTTGTTAATCTCTGGAACTTTGAAGCTTCCTTGCGCAGAGTCCTACAAGGGGTGAGGAGGATGAAAGCCTGGGTATTCCCTCATTTTTAAAATTCCTTCCTTCTTTCAATGTTTTTACAGTATTAGCAATGTGTAGGATGGTGGCTACAAAAAAGTATATTCCAAATAACTATATCTCTGGGAATATATATGATCTTAGCGGTTATTATTTTTGGCAACAGAGACTAAAGTAATGGGTTCCACAAATAGTATATATACATTCTTCATATAAATACTTAATAGTAAGCAACTCATCCAACTAGTGGATTACACTTCCCTTTAAATTGCAGATTCATTTAAAGCACCAAGGAGATAATGGCTACAGATTTGAGTGGGGACATAGGATGCCTTCAATTGACCCTTGAATTAGGAGGGGACAACCTCAAGAAGCAAAAAATGTACCAATATGGGCATCAGAAGGAAGATGAGCATCAGGGGGAGGCACTCACAGCATGAGAGGGGTCAAATACTGAGACTCCCTTGAACGATTGCTTTACCAGGCAAACAAACCCGTATGCAGGCTACTGCGATCACTATGTGTACCGATGTGCTGGAGCAGTAATATGCTGGGAATCTGAACTTCAGCTGAGCTCAGTGTATGCAGATGTGAAAATGCTCCTAACCATGAAAACAGAAATAAGTAGTGATGCCTCATGAGACTCTAAGCACACCATTGTCATCATATTATTTGTCCTTGTGGTAACCTTGAGAGAAGAGAGGCAGCAAATTGAGGCACAGAAAGGTTGAGTGTTTTCCCAGGGCTCTACGTATGAGTCAGTTGTGAGGCCAGGCCCAAGTCCTGCTCTATTTATTCACTCTGAAATATTCTTCAATTTTTCGTACCGCTTTTCTCTCCCTGAAAATAATTCTGAGATAATGAGAGCGAAGTTCCCATTAAGGCCACTTTTCCACAGGGCCAGCACTATAAGACACAAGGTACAGGCACGTGGACCAATTAGACCACTTAGACAAGTCCACTGCACTTAAAAGGCTCCACTGGGTCCACAGTGGACACAGAGAGGGACAAAAGTCTGCTAACAGCTTCTTCACTTCTCAGCCAGGCATTTGGGAGTTATACTGGTCTGATCTCAAAGCCTGAAATGGTCTGTCTACTCATGGATCATTTCAGAGAGATTTTATTTTTCTAGAACAGTTGTAGTAATCGTGGTTCTGTAGTATGAATATATTTAAATGCTCTCTAAGTTAGTGAATAGCTATCTTTAATTCAAAAGGCAGAGTAATGATGTATAATTACCTTACTCATTACCAATTACTTTAATTGTTCAAGATACATATTTTTACTAATTTACTAATGTAAATAAAGTCCAAAGCCAAAATGAGAAGAGAAAAATAACCTCTATTCTCTCTGTAAGCCTCTTGATCTACATGGACACCAAAATAATCATGAGTATGTATCTACATGTGGGAAGGCCAACTTACCTTTGACCTCCTTGTCCTCCACTGTTGTTTACTTTTCAACTTTTCAGCAGCACATTCTTCAGTCCTATTTAAGGGAAAAAAATCTGCTGATATGTTACAGACCAAAATCTAAGTTTCACAAGCTACGTTATAACAAAATCATTCAATGCTGACAAAACACTGAAGTCAGCTTCTTGTTCAAAAGTAGAAAAGCTTTTGTATGTGTGTGTGTGTGTGTGTGTGTGTGTGTGTTAAATTAAAAACAGTCTAACATATGCTCTAATCTTCTAATGGCTTTTGTGGTAGCTTGTAGAGTAAATGAGATGACATAAATCAAAAGACTTTCCAAACTGTAACACACTATATGAATGATATTTTTATTTTGATATAACCAGATTCCATGCTGTTAATGCTACCAATTAGACTGATCCATTTGCATCCTACAAATTCTAAATAGAAATATGTTAGCTTTCTAGATACTCCAGAATTGATCTTTATGGGGCTTGATCCATTTATTGTAAAATAAGTAAATCTTATAATTGTTTTGTTTTCTGCTACTTTCACGTGTCATATCTTTAGTAAGCCTCTTTGGACAAGTGACCCATCAGACTTAATTTTACTCCTATAGCCATTTTCTTCCTATCATGATCATTTTACTTTCCATCTGCCTAAGAAAAGCAGGTGCCTGAGCAAAATTTAATTAAGAAGCCATTGCCAGCTATAGCTTCCTACATGACTCTAGTCTTGTGGAATAAAATGTCTGGGGCTATATTTGGAGAGAGAGGGAGAGACATTTAAAAATTCTTGCTGGTCTGTCCAGACCCTCATTCTTTGGCAGAACCCAAATTCTCAGGGTAGGTTAGCCTAGCAGAGACCAAACACATTTTCCAGCATCTCGAGGGTCAGTCTACAGAGAGAAGACCTAAGCCTTGTCCAAGACCTAATCCTTTGTCCCCGAAGTTTGAGTGATATGTGAGCAGGTGTGGAAAAGGTATTAGAATTCTGGGTCTGGAGAAGCGAAAGAAAGTTGACTTTGGATTGCTACATTCACCACCTTCTTCTGTCTTTTGTCTTTTCCTTTCTTCTGGCCCCTGCTCGTGTCTCTACCCTTCTGTCTTTTTCAATTAATGTCCTTTATCTTAACTGTCGCCTTCCCAGTTTTGTCTGAAGGAACTTATCCACTCAGGCCTTCAGCTGGCGGCGCTGGCCTGTCTGGAGCCCAGAGAGCTCTCCAAGGTTCTGAAAACATCTCTGCTCAGAGCCAGGAACCAATTAAGCAAACCCAGTGTGTCTCACTCCAGCTGTGTTCTCCGAGGTCGTAACCTTGACCTGGCCTCTACGCAACGACCCTTTCTCACAATACAAAGCAGTAGCTCCTGAGATCCAGAAGAACTTCAGACATGGCACGGAATTGGGGAGGGTGAGTGGGGGTTCCATTTAGCCTGGGAGATGTCAAATCAGCTTTGCACATTCCACATATACTTTCTATTTTATTGCTGCCTAAAGTAGAACTTTTCTCATTTTCCAGGAAGGAAACTCTTTAAGTTTTTAGACGTACACCCCCACCCCTTCTTACATAACACAAACCACAAACCCCCAAAACACAAGGTGAGCCACCCCTAATTTGTGTGCATTTCACGGATGGCAATGTGCACGTTTTTGTGGAGATTTATGTGCACATAATAAACATGGACGAGAGAGAGCAAGGGAGAGAAAAAGGAAGAGAGGGGTAGAGAGGAACATGTGTGCGTGAGGAGGGAGGCAGGAAAGGCAAAGAAGGAAGGGAGGAGAGGGCGATCTGGAGAGCTGGAGCCCGGAGTCGCCCTGGGCTGAGCACGATTTACCTGTCCCTCCGATCCCCTGACCCGTGGAGCAAGTGCAGCCAGCCTAGCCGCAGATCTCTCGCCGGGGTCCCATCACCGCCGCCGCCGCCGCCGCTCGCGCCCCGCGGAACCCAGCATGCACGTGATTGACAGCGGTGCCCACGTGCCCGCGCAGCCGCCACGAAAGGGGAGGGCCGGCGTGGCGGGGAGCGCTGGGTGGGCGGGGCCCGGGTGGGCGGGGTGGAGGCTCAACCCCAGCTCTCTGCTGCCGGATATCCGGCGCTGGACCAGGCTGGAGCTCCTGGACCAGGGCGTCTTGTCTGCGCAACTGCTTGCTTGCTTGCTTTCTTTCCTTTTTGTTTTTTGTTTTCTTGCACAGGCGGTTTCCTGGCTCCATAGTGTTTTTCTAAATGAATGGAGAAACAGACAGACTTGTTGCTTGTCTCTTCCACTGTCATCTCGTTTGAGACATGCAGAGGAGTGTCTCTTCTGTTTCCTGTCACGAAAGGGACGCCAGGCGAGGCTAGCCAGGCTCTGTCCAGCTGCCCAAACCTTCTCACTCCTTAGGTTCTGGGTAACTACATTTAACCCGGACCCTAACTGTAAGCCTAACCCTGACTTCTTCCCTGATCCCGACGTTGCAAAGGCTGCATGGCAAGAGAGACTAAGGAAATGAATTCTACCATGACATTCAAGAAAGAAAAAAAAAAAAAAAAAAAAAAAAAAAAAAAAAAAAAAAAAAAAAAAAAGAAATGCACTGAGAACCTGCGAGCACCTTAGAAAATGTGTGGAGGTGTTGGCAAGCTAGTGCACAGGTACAGTAGCCCCTGCTGCACAGTGCTCTGTGCAGACACTAGTGAGAGACCTTCAATCAGTTTACCAAGAGGGTTTCCGTATGCACGGCTATGTGAAATAATAATGGCAGTTCTTAGCATATGCTAGGCATTGCATTAGGTACTCCATCTATCTATCTATCTATCTATCTATCTATCTATCTATCTATCTGATAAATATATGTATGATATATAATATGTATATGATGCACATATTAGATCTCTCAAGCTTCGCAGAAGACATGATTGCTCTTTGAAGGTCATACCACTACTAAATGTGGGAGGTAGATTGTAGGCTACAAGGCGACCTCCTAGAGAGGATTAAGGGTATAAGTGCTGTTTTGCTGGTGGTTTCCTCACCTGAGGTGCAGCCGAAAGCTTTTGCAAAGTAATTCTACTCTTATTAAAGAGCACACGCAGCAGAGCAGAAGGCAAGCAATTACTGAGAAGGCCACAGAGGTCAGGAATGGCTTTGTCCTCCCTGTCCCTTGGCTTCACAACTCAGTCCCAGCCCTCTTCAACACCACTTAAGCCTGTAGGTGCCAATTATTTCCTTTTTCCTCCCCAGCCTGAGCCTTTCAAGAGTTTTGAGATGGTACTTGTTAGCTTGTTTTTTTCACACCCAGTGTATGGATCTGGTGAACACCTGCTAATTCTTAGATTATAACATGGCTGTATATGCTTTCCTGTCCTTGAATATCCATGAAGATAAGCACATGTGCAAAACTCCCAGGGCTGGAAAGGCATGCTATGGCTGCCTCCTAAGTATATGTTGTTGGTGTCTGGTAAGCGTCCTCTTTGTCTTCCTCCTTCCCCCTCCCTCCAGTTTCCTCCTTCCCTCTCCTAGGGATTGACCCTAGAGCTATCCCAGTGAGCTCCAGCTCCAGCCTTTTGTTATACTTTTTCAATGAGGCAAGATTTCACACTTGCTAAACAGCCCAGGCTGGGTTCAAACCTGAGATCCTTCTGCATTGGCCTCCCAGAGTGCTGAGACTTCAGGCATGTGCCACCATGCCTAGTTTGGCCCTGATCTCTCTTGCTAAAATATCTTTCCGCTTAAAAATGTAGTCTAGTTAAGATTTAGAATAAGAATGATCAGAATTTTTATCCTAGGTCTGCTACTTCAACTTTGGTCAAGTTATTTCACTACTTTCCTATACCATTTTCCACATCTGTAACATGTTTATAATACCTGCTCCATAGTGTAATTAAAAGAATTAAATGAAATTATATTCATAAAGCATTTATCACAATGTCTGTGATATAGTAAGTACTCAACAAATTGTAGCAGTTATATTATTTTTATTATTGTTGTTATTTTACTATTATTTAGCTAAACATTGTATGAGCCTATGAGTCTTTTGAGCTTGGTGTCTCAAATCTTCTAAGCTCCTCAGATACTTTTCATTTGCTTTACCTCCTGTTTTGCCAGACCCATTTCCCATTGTGCCATCTCTGGCCTATGCCTATGCAGGACACTGGAGGCAACACAGCTCTTCCAAATTTCACAAGCACATTGACCTTTACTTTCTCTCAATCCAAAGTCATTTAATTAGTGAAATAGAATAAGATGTGACTTAAGATACTCAGATGCAGTGAATGCCCTTGACATGTGAATCATCACCACTATCTTGCTTCACACAAATCATAGTTTCTCTATTTGTTTTGCAAAGATCAGGTAATAGAAATGATTATTTGGAAGCAACTAAGCTTTGCCTTAGAACATACTACACACAATTTCCCTAAGTTGTATTATATGGAAATATTTAACAGTGAATAGCTTGTTAATCCATTATTCAACACACATTGGCTGAATGCCTGCCATTTGGACAATGCAGGCCAACAAACAAATAAGAAGCATTACTTTAAAAAGTGAAGCAGAAGGGTCAGGGGAAGATTCTGTTTCCTGGGTTATTGTCCAGTAAGGACGCTGTGATCCGGCCTCCAACTGCCTTTCCAACCTCCTGTCTCACGATTCCCTTCTAAGCCCATTTCTCACCAGACCAAGCCTATCTGATGTTCTTTGCACATGATTCTCTATTTCTTCCTCTGTAAGTATTCTGCTGCCAGTGCTTCCAGCATCCCCCATCAGCCTCTTTTTGATATGCTTCAATGCAACTTGTTCTCTACGATCACTGTTGCTTCCAGTCTTACTTGTCTTGTGGTGTGGGTAGGTTTTTCCTCCTCCTTACATTATGATTTGTGAATCTACTTATGTTTTCTTGTGAGCATTCCAAAGAGGTTGTACTCACAAAGCAGTTTTTAGTCAGCACATTGACAAGCACATTGCTTTGTACAAATTAGTCATTGTTGGTAAATAAATTGATTAGTACACGAGTTATGGGATCACAGCTGGGCCTTGACAGGTGGGTGAGAGTTCTGGAGGAGAGAAGAGGGCATTGTAACAGCGTAGGGAATGAAAAGCACAAGATCCAGTTTGATGTTCAGCTCCCAGGCTAGTTCCTGGGATCCAGGTCTGTAAGAGGTAAAGGAGGAAGTGATGGGGAGAGAACTCCATTCCCTTCCTTCACTTCCCCCACAAAAGCTGCAGCCTGCAGTCCCTGAGCCCTTCAGCGGTGAGCACCATCGTTCCTGGTTGGCTGTGGCCTGCCCAGCCTATGCAAGCCCAGGCCACACTGTTCCGCAGCAGGCAGGATCTCATGATTAGTATGCTCTCTGTCTTCCCAGACAGAACAGATGTCTGTCTGCCTTAATGATGATGGCAGGTTCCCAGTGATCAAGATCCAATTTCACAGACTCTGAAATGTTGTGGCTAAGAAGTTCTATTCAGCTGTTTCTGAGAGCCAGCTTCCAGCTTTGCCAGAGATTCTATGCCGTGTGGCTTAGTAAATTTGGAAGGTGTGGAAGGAAGAGGCCAGAGTGGAGGCAGCACTTAACTTTGCTGAGATGGAGCAGCTGATTGGAGAGAGTCCTGGGCATCCTATCGGGGCTTTCCTGTGCTCCCTCTTGTTCTGCTATCAAGAGAACCTCTGCTCATCTTGTAAATTTGCTGCTGTTAGAGAATAGTTGGCATAGGAAATAGTTTCTATTTGGGATGGAGAATGTGTTGGGCACTGCTTTAGTTATTAGGAAGCCAATTAGATCCTCTCTTACAATCTAGTGATTTAGGGGTTGGAAAGGAAACAGGATGGGCTAGAAAGAGCTATCTAGAGCTCCAAAACCTGCCTCAGGATCTCAGGATGGTCCGTGTCCATCCTGTTTCTGACAAGGAAGTTGAGTGGACGATCCTGAGGCCATAAACAAACTTCATCTGTGGCTTGATTTTGTTTGGAGTCTAAAAGTATCTCACACGTGTAACAAATTATCCTATGTACCATGAGGCTTGGTATGGTTATTGGTATGGCTATCCACTTCCATCCTATCTTACTGCTCCCTAAGTCACTGCCCAGGCTCCCTCATAACCAAATGTGACCTCCCATCACACCTAGTCTGGGTGCCATGGGGAGCTACATAGGGCTGTGTGCTGACAAGCTGGTTCTACACTTGGGGTTTAATGTATGTTGATTGTCATCTTGGAACTCTTAATAATTTTTTCTCTGAATTTGTATTCTGTAAACAATATCTACTGGGAAAAGAGGTCATGTCCTGGAAATGTGGAACCGTAGTTTCTATGTGGACCCACACCTGCTGCCTCCTTACTTTCTAGGAAGTAGATCCCCTGTCACCTTTGCCTCCAGCTTCTCTGGGCCTGGCACCCACACTTAGAGCATCTTGAAGGATCACCCTTTGTCTACTGAACCAGAGTACTAGACAGCAAATAAAAACCTCTTTAAGAGGCCAAGAGAAGGACCCCTGGAAATAAGGATAAAGTTTTCTGGTTTCTCAGACAAGAGGTGCTGTGGTTTTCTCTTGCACCAGGCTCTGCAAAATCACATAGCCCACCACAAATGTGTCGGTCAATATCTGCTTCCAAGGCTTTGTGCTGTTCTGCTTCATACTTGAAATGTCATCCTAGAATTCTTTTGCTTATCAACCCCTCTTCTGCCTTCAATGATGATCTCTGGTTCCCCTTTTAAGAAGTCCGACTTCTAAGCGCTCATTCCTCTATGTGGAATTTGTTTTTGTGGAACTGACTTACTGTGCTAAATAGTAGACTGTTATGCTAATCAGCTTCAGTTGCTGGGAAGAGCAGCAGGACAGCATTTCCTGTAAGTAGCTGCTGCATGCTCAAAACATGAGCTAAGTGGGTCAGCCAGAGTATGGCCGTCAGACTGGGTGTCAACTGCAGAATGGATGTTTTCCCTTGGTGTTGGCTTTTGTAGCTGCTGGATGAGGTGACCCAGGA